GATTACGTTGTAGGAAATGATAAGGCAGGGAGTTATGATCAGAGGAGCAAACGGCCAAGAGAGAGTAAAAAGCAGGATTGCTGGTGGAGAGAAGGTCCAGAAAATGAGCATATTTGAAGAATCTTCTCAAAGGATACTGAAATATCTAAGAATCATTATGGTAATAATATTGGAGAAAGTGACAGTAAGGTAATAGCTACAATTTTCAGAAAAAGAGTGAAATTGACTCAGGAATCAGCAGATTACTGCAACAGGATGTGGCAGAGGATGGAAAATTGCAACAAAATGAAATTAATGCCTAGGGTATTTTGAGGGAGGAGGCAAGAAAAATGATCTGAAAGTAGCAGGACAAAGAAGACACCCATGCCATCTTGAAAGGCCCGATGGTAAAAAGGCTTCGAGAATGAAAATAGTCACCCCTTACCAGGGATTTAAAGAAAGCTGTGTCATCAAGGGAGCAAAGAAAAGGAAGAGAACCTTCACAGAAAAGGCTGATGACATAAAAAGAAACCACAGTGGCAGGAAGCCTCTGATCTTGGTACATACATCTAATGTGGATTTTTTTTTAAAAAGTGGCTTTTGCATAAATGCAAAAGGGGAGGGGAGGAGTAAGGAGATGGAGAAAGGAGAGGCATACAAGCATATGAAAAGGTGCTCAATACCACATGTGATCAGAAACTGAAAACTCAAATAACAATGAGATACTACTAAACACACACACATTAGAATGGCTAAACTCTAAAACACCGGCAATTCCAAATGCTAGCTAGGACATGCAACAACAGGAACACTCTTTCATGCTGGTAGGATTGCAATGGAAGACAGTATGGCAGCTTCTTACAAAACAAAACATACTCTTGCCACTTGATCCAGCAATATGCCCAAATGATTCTTTTATTAATTTTACTGGTACATCTAAGGTATACAATGTAATGACATTCATCATTGGAAATTTGCACCTTTACATAATCCATCTTGGTTATTTTTGTCCCATTCCCCTCAAATGATTTGAAAATGAATATCTACACAAAAATATGCACACAAATGTTTATAGCAGCTTTATGTATAACTGCCAAAACTTGGAAGCAATTAATGTGTCCTTCAATAGGTACACAGATAAGCAAACTGTGCTACAGACTGAACTGTACTCCTCATCCAAAATTCATATGTGAAGCCCTAACTTCCACTATGACCATCCAGAAAAAGGGTCTGCAGCAGGTAATTAAGGTTAAATGGTGTCATAAAGATGGAACCCTAATCTAATAAAATTGTGGCCCTATAAAAAGATGAAGATTCTCTCTCAGTGCCACATGAGGACACAGGTAAAAGGGAGTAAGTAATTTGCAGGCCAGGAAGAGAACCTTCATCAAAATCAGAGCATGCTGCTATCCTCATCTTGAACTTCCAGCCTCTAAAACTGTGAGAAACTAAATTTCTGTTGTTTAAACCATCCAGGCTATGGTATTTTGTTATGGCAGCTTGAGCATACTAATACACTATGCAACATCCATACCACTTAATACTATTCAGTGCTAAAAAGTAATAAACTATCACAGCCACAAAAAGACACAGGAGGATCCTAAATCCATAATGCTAAGTGAAATAAGCCAGTTTAAGAAGGTTATATATGATTCCAATTATATGACAGTCAGGGCCGGGGATTTAGCTCAGTGGTGTCACACCTGCCTTGCAAGCACAAGGTCCTGAGTTCGATCCCCAGTACAGGAAAAAAAAATTATATGACAATCTGTAAAACTAAAGAAACTAAAAAAAAAAAAAAAAAAAAAAATCAGTGGGTATAGGGTGAGAGGGCACTCAGGAGGAAGGAGGGATACATAGGTGGAGCACAGGGGATTTTTAGGGTAGTGGAACTACTACCCTGTACAATACTGCAATGATGGATATATGTCTTTACATATTTGTTAAAACCTATAGAATTTTACAGTTATCAAAACCTTTACTTGGGCCAGGGATTTAGTTCAGTGGTTCCAGCGCCTGCCTCGAAAGCGCAAGGTCCTGAGTTCGATCCCCGGTGGGGGAAAAAAAAAACAAAACAACTTTTACTTTAGTATTTACATTAAGGATGAAGCTTAATGTAAACTATGAACTTTAGCCATTAATCTATCAATACTAACTCATCAATTGTAACAAAAGTACCACATTAATGCAAGACATTACCAATGCAAGAATTGTGAGGGACAGCCAGGAAGTATATGGAATTATATGTACTATACCTGCTCAATTATTCTGTAAATCTAAAAATATATTTTACTTTTTTTTTTTTTGGTACCGGGGATCGAACTTGGGACCTTGCACTTGCGAGGCAGGTGGCGGCACCACTGAGCTAAATCTCTGGCCCAATAGTCTTACTTTTTAAAATATAGTTTTAGGGCTGGGGATTTAGCTCAGTGGTGCCGCCTCCTGCCTCGCAAGTGCAAGGTCCCGAGTTCGATCCCCGGTACCAAAAACAACAACAAAAAAGTAAGACTATTAAATACTGAATTAAAAATAATTATGTGACATTCAAATTTCAGTTTATATAAACTGTTATTGGAACACAGCCATTCTTACTCATTTATATGGTCTATGGATGCTTTTACACTACAACAGAGTTGAGGAGCTGTAACAGAAACCACATACACAATCACAATGTCTAAAATATTTACTATTTGAATCTTTTCAAAAAATGTTTGCAGTGCCCTGATGTAAATTTTACAACCCAAGTTTTAAAAAAGCACATCCCATCTTAGGCTGTTCTGAGCTAAACACTTTATTTAAATTATTTTAAATTATTAGAGTCACAAGAAATATTAATTACATAATATAATTTCTAAAATTTAACTGGATACCTTCTAATCTTTTTTTAAAACATAAAATACATCAGCAAAATACCTGAATATCCTAAACAGCAACTCCCAAAGAAAGAATCCATATTTTACTGAGAAACACTAGCATACAACAGTGTTACACTATAGTGCTTGCAAAGCCTACTTACTGAACACAAAAATTAAAGTGTTCAACTAAGAGAAGATTAACAGACTGAAAAGAGAAATCTGGAAAACAGTGTGAATGGAGCACATTCAGGGACGGGTAGGGCAGGATACCCGAGAATCAATCAAGCACTACAAAAAACTGGTTAAAGAATATTAAAAGTCAGGAAAATGCAGCATGGGTATCAGAAAACAAAATATAATAATGCTACCTGGAAGTGTGGCACAGTTATAGTTTAAGAATATCAAAATATATTGAAAATATTAAGAGTCAACTATCTGAATTCTTTTTTTTTTTTTTTATCGTACTGGGGATCAAACTCAGGACCTCGTGCTTTCAAGGCAGGCATAGTGCCACTGAGCTAAATCCCCAGCCCAAGAGTCAACTATCTGAGAAAGCAAATCATAACTATCTGACATACTGAAATAGTCTTATTAATAATCTAGGTTTCTTAGGAAGAATCACATCTGTAGAAATTATTTTAGGAAAGCATCACAGAATAAAGACTAGAGGCAAAGGCTGTGGGAAAAAACAAACCTGTTCTCCTTCTGCCACTTACTAGTTCTAAGACTCTGAGAACACACTCTCAGCCTCAGTCTCCTCATCTGTAAAATAACAATATTATGGGCTATTAAGATTAGATAAAATGGGCCAGAGATTTAGCTCAGTGGTTCCAGCACCTGCCTCGCAAGCGCAAGGTCCCAAGTTCGATCCCTGGTACCAAAAAAAAAAAAAAGATTAGATAAAATGACAGATGTAAGGAGCTTAGCAGAGTACTAGACAAAAATAGAGTGCTAAAAAAATGGTAACTAATGGGGAAAAAATAAGAACCAAGATGCATCATATAAAGGTACAAGTTCCCAATGAGAAATGTAATTGTGTTGTATATCTAAAATGTACCAATAAAAGAATTTAAAAAAACAAAACATGTAAGCCAAGCATTAAAAGAAAAAAAATAATAATAATAAATAAATAAATAAATGGTAACTGTCACTATGACTAATATATTTGGCATGAAAAATATACTGGGAATAGACAGTCTGAAGTTTTTCCAGAAAAATCTAAAGACTGAAAAAAACCTTTTATAGAATAAATTTTTAGAGAGCATCTGCTATTGAAATATTAAATAAGGATGTCAGTTCAATAAATGGAGTTGAGACTTCACCAACAGGATGAGAATGTTGGTCTGTGGAAAAAAATAAATATCAGTTTGAGGGCCCCCTAAATTCCAAAACTGGAGAATGGTATGGGCTTACAACAGGACCCATTCAGGGACCTACACATTCCCAAATTCATATTGGCACCTAAAAATGTGTTAGTAACATCTCTTGCAATCAAGAAGGGAATAAAACACTATAAACACCTAGATGACAAAGCTTTGTTCTATTCTATCCTTCCTGACCACCAAAACCAAAATATCTATGACAAGAAAATTCAGAGCTGTATCCGGAGAGCAGCCAGGAACATAATCAGTTTATAAATGTTAGATCAAAGTAATAAGAGAGGCGAGGTCAAGTTCTTGGACTTTGCTTCTCCGCCAAAATGAGTTAAACTAATAGTGAAAGCTGAGAGATGAGTTTTTGTACACATCAACCTTGCCGCGCAAACACGCACGCACACACACACGCACACACACAACCTCTCGCTACGATCACTGCTCAAATCCTACAGTCTGAGAAAATAGCTTGCGGTCTTTTCCGTAGTCACAGTCACCCTCCCCACGCTTCCTTTCGCCCCACAAAAAAGGTCACCTGGTACGGTACTTCCCCAGAGGAAAAACAGTGAAACACGATAGTAATTCTAATTAATACATTTTACTCTCCTGTGGCCGGGACAGAGGCTGAACGGTTTTACTAGGCTCTTCCAGGACCGTGGACTGGGGCGACGAGTGGCCTCACTCCCGAGGTCAGGTTGCCCACACCTGTCACCACAAATGGGCGGAAGTAGGGAGGAAAAAACCCGTAGAAGCGGACCCGAGCCTCCCAGGTACATTCGCAGCTCCTACTCACCCCAACCTTCATCTGGTCTGTGGCAGAGTCCGGGGCTAAAAGGTGACTCCATGTTGCCGGCAACGCCAGCCGGCTCCCCGAAATACACGTCCCAGTGCTCTGGAACTCGGTAATACAGTATCTGGGACGGCGGCGTTAGGCGGACAAAATACTCCAATCGCTAGCGCGACGGTGGCCGAAGGAAGACAAACTTTCTATCGTAAGCGGAACGTGTGAAAATCAGCCGAAAGAACTTCAGTGACTAAACTAAACAGGTCTCTGAGTAATTATTTCCCTTCTGGAGGTTCAGCACTTTCTGACTCGCTCTTTTAAAGGGAACTGGGCGGAGGTGGGTTGAGAAAGACACCAATTAGGTTAAACAAAATTTATCGATAATGTTAAAAACGAAAAGTAAAACTTCTTTCTGAACATCCTGGTATGGTCCCTGATTCTCCTTAATATCGCGGTGAAGGTATCTCAGAACAAAATTAGAGAGTAACAGTAAATTTGATATAATTTTTACGAATAATTTCCCAGCGATGTAAAAATTCTCCGTATAAACAAGTGAAAGAAAGAAAACTATTTTTCCACATTCATTAGCATTGCCTCTTGATTGGCATGCACAGTTATCTGAGGTAAGCAATTTTTAAAATTATGCTTTCTAGAAACCTCACCTTTATAGAAGCAAATTGAGACAAAACAAATATGTAAGATAAACTCCCCATGCCCATACTTCTGTCCTGACGATGAATGTCTAAAGCTACTAAAGTGAGAGCGAGCTTACCCTAAAACCAGCAATAATAAAGTTCTCAATCTTTTTGTTGCTGAAATTTTAAGGTGCAGATTTACTTTAAAGAAATTCACACATATCAGAAACTAACTGAAAGATGTAAACTGAGTTTGATAAAAATAAAGTTTCGAGAATGCTACTTCAAAGAATGATTTTTCATCCTTGGTGTCCCCAGCCGGGGACTATTTAAAATACTCGGCCTTAAGAACATGTATCCCTCTAGGACCGAGTGAAATTTTTCCCATAGTTACAAACAAAACAAAAATGCTTCCCAGAATCCTCCAGACTCCTCGTGCCTGGATCTTACTACAGATTACACAAGACCAAACAGCATCGGGACCGAAGCGGAGGAAAAAATTTATGAAATCCGCTTAACATTAAATGTGACTCCTTCTTCTGTCATCAAATTACTAACAAGTTTTCACTTAAGGGGACATTTATAACTTTAATTCTGGCCCAGCTACAAATTCAAAAATTCACATGAAAACTAAAATCAGCCAGTCTTCTCTATCCACCAAACATCTTAAGTCTTTTAAGAAAATCATGATTGAACATTGTTTTATTAAGATTTTTGTTCCAAAATATCAGATAATTATGAAACAAACGCTTGTATACCTATCAAGAATTTTAAAATATTAACATGAATTAACGGATGTTAATATTAAATATTAACATTTTTCATGTTTGTATCATTTTCTTAAAGAAATTAAAACATTATAAATAAATTGAACACTTTCCCCCCACTTCATTTCCTTCCCCCCATATGGGCAACTTCTATCATGAATTTTATAGGCATCAATCTAGTCCATTTTTATACTTTTACCGTGTTTGTAGATACATATATTTAGTGTCATTATGTGTTATTTTTACATAACTGTATCATACTCTAAAGTTCTCCAAACCACTTTCTCATTTGCCATTATTTTTTGAGGATCTACCCATGTTTTAACTGTTACATGATGTTTTCCTTGAATACATATATAAAAATTTCATTTTCCATTTTCCTAATGATGGACACTTGGGCTCTTTCAATTGTTTATTACTACATAAAATGTGTCCTTATATAGATATAGATCTCTTCTCCACATAAAAGAATGTCTTTAATATGTATGTTGGGTCACTTGCCAAATTATACTGACTTATATACCCTCATAGCAGTGATGAGTTCTTTTCTCCACATTGTCACCAATAGTAGATATGGTCAGATTTTTACAATTTTTGTTACAGTGAAGGGTGTGATTATAATTTATGTTTCCCTGTGTTTATGAAACCTTATTTCCTCTTCTGTAAACTACCCACTTTTATAAAGTTTACTATTTTCTTTCTCTCAATGTATAGATCTTTTGATAGCCTACTCTATTCACTGAACTGTTATATATATTATACTTTCTTCCAGATTGACACTTGTCTTTGTCCTCTAGGTTCTAATTTTAATGTAATCAAATTTATCAATCTTTTATGATTTCTGCTATTTTTATCTTAAGAAATCCTTCCCTTTCCTGCAGTTATTAAGATTTTCATTTTTTTTCATAGTTCTGTAGTTGTTTTTACATTTTTTCTGTTTGGTTATTTGAGTATAGTACACTATTGATTTTTGTACAGCAATCTTGCATCCAAAAACCTTGCTAAATTCCGTTATTCTAATATTGTCTAAATCCTTTAGGATTTTCTATTTAGAAAAGCACTAACATTTTCTGTTTTATTGACTGTTTTGATCTTTAAAAATGATAAAACTTTAATATGGAAATTTTTAAACCGAAGAGACAATAGGGAAGAAAATGTTCAAATGGGAAGGGGAACAAGGGAGGAGGTTGGGAGAAAGAAAGGGACAAGAAAAAACGTGAAAATAAAAGGAAAAATGGAATAAAGCTTTTGTACATAGGGAGGGGAGAGGGAAAGGGGGAAAAAAGGTGGGATGTATCATGTATAGGTGCAAATTCCCTATGATGAGTGTTATCATTATGTATGTCTAAAATGTACCAATAAATGTTTTGCTATTAAAAAAGAGAGAATATAGTGAATCCCTTTGTTTTTAGCACCCAGCTCTAACAATTTCCTGTTCCTATTTTATCTATCCTCATTACAACTTTTTTCATTTTGCTGGGGAATTTTTTTTCTTTATTTCAAATTTTACCCATACATACTCCAATGTAGCCGTAAACAAAGCCTTTTCTTATATTTTAAAACACAATAGTGCTATATAATACCAAACAAAAATAATTCCATAATACCATAATACCTGTTCCATGTTCAATTTTCTGTCTCAAAAATGGAATCTACTATTGGTTTGTAAAAACCAGGATCCAAACAAGACCATCACATTCATTTGGTTCATACAGTTTCTTTTCTCTTTCTTGTCTCCATGCCATTTGTTAAAGAATCTAAGTCATCTGTCCTGTAGAATTTCCCTTTGTGATTTGTAATTTTATCTTTGTAATTTTATCTTCATAGTGATGCTTAATTTGTTCCTTACATTGCCAGTTCCACCTAATGGTTTGATTGGATAACTTCTGCTCTTCTGTTTGCTTGTTTTTACAAGAATACTTCACAGCACTTTTTTACAGGAAGTATGTTATCCCTGTTTTAGAGACAAGATTTATCAGTGAGTTTAGATTCCTACCCACCCCACCTTGTTTTATTGCAATGTCTAGGACCTCTGGTACAATATGAAATGAAGGTATGTGCAAGCATATGTATCTTTTAACTTGTTCCTAACTTTAATGTGACTATTTAAAAAGTCTTACCATTAAATTTTTTTGTGTGGAGATTTTTCATATGCATTCTAATTAAGTATTCTGGACACCAAGCTTTTAAAACAAAAAAAATCTTTTAACAATTGAGTGATACTGAGTCCTTTTTCTTCAATCTATTCCTCATTAGTTTTCAACTTAAACCCTTGGAATGGAAATAAAATTTGAAGAGAACTTTTGTAGAGACAATACCACTCTTTGATGTAGACAAGAGGAGCCCCTGCCCTGGACTCACACTTCAGAAAACTTTATTCTGACCTCTGGCTCTCTCCATTCAGTGTAAGAATCCTTGCATCAAGGTGACATATCCAAATAGAATAGGTGGCTCTTTCTACACATTTCTAACACCCAAATAGCCCAAACAACTGCAACCCTAATAGTAGGGCCTGCTTAGGCCCCAGACTTCCTAACAGGTGAACTGAGCCAACAATATATATCAGAGGTGTAGGCAGAACTTAAGACGTGTGAGATGGGAGTTCATATATACCAGTTCCTCATGATGCAGAGCAAATCAATACATGGGGAGAGAAAAGGGGCAGCTTGTGGGTCAGAGACCAACTCTTCCTGCATTGCCACTGCCATGTTTTAGTATAGAATTCCAAATTCAAACCTGGCATCCCAGGTTATTATGAAGGTATGTTTGTCAAGGTAAGAGAATAAAACCATTTATTTAACAGATAGCTTGATTTATAACTTTCAAATATAAGGCAAATCGTATGTTGGGCTTCAATTTATACTTTAGTGGAAACCAAACAAATATTGGCTGGGCGCCTGACTACTGAATTTAGAACTTAGTTGAAATTGTATTTCATCAGTACTATTAGATTTTATAATCTGGTCAGCATTTACAGTGTAACATCTATTAAGACACATAGCACCCTAAACAGTGAACCCAAACATTAGAATACAGAGGTTAAGAGAGGGATTTTTCAGTCAGTCACGTCTTGATTTTACCCTAGGTTCAACCGTTTGCTAGCACTGTAATCAGAGGAAGTAACTTAATCTTTCTAAACTTCAATTCACTTGTAATATTAAGAGTAAGAGCTGGCTGATGGCACATGCCTGGAATCCCAGCACTCTGGGAGGCTGAGGTAGGACGATTAGTTAGTGACTCGGTGGCTAGTGATGTAGCTCAGTGTTAAGGCCCTGGGTTCAATCCCTAGCATGGCAAACACGAGCAAATGGGAGGGGAGGAGTGTTGAAAGAGAACAGGGCCCACCTCATAGGACTGTTGGACATTTAAACTAGCTAATACACATTAAGTGCTAAGCTTAGTGACTAGCATATGGTATGTGAACAATAAATTGGAGCTATTTTAAGGGAAAAACTAGCTAGGTACTATACCAAGTTCTTTATCTGCACTGTTATCACAAAAATCTTAATTTTAAATCAAATAGATACTATTATCTCCATTTTCTATAAGAACAAATTAAGGTAAATAAAAATGACCTTTAAACCAAGCTTGTCAGAAAGGCAAAGCACTTACTAATCCCATTTTGTGCAGGAGAAAATTGACTCACAGTTTCCAAAGACCTGCTCACTTTCTGGAAGGTGGTAATGTGACTGGCAGAGCCATTATTAGAGCAAACCGACTTCTACTTCACCAGTCTCCTCGGTGTCACCCTGTCCCTGACAGAAGTCTAATACTGCTCCTTCAACAAATGTGAAAAACGAGATGTCCTAAATTATTCCTACGTGAAATATAAAAAAGGCCCTATTTGTTAGTGTTTCTCTAAAGAACAAAGGTGTAATAGATTTTTCTCAAGTAAAGCATTAAAGGACTTTAAATGTGAAAATTTTGCTCAAGGGATATTTCACAAAATTTACATAAAAAATTATTATGTCTATCTCAGCTAGAATATGTTGCAAAACAAAAAGCAGGAGGTTTACGTGGTTTTTTCCCTGTGTCATCTAGAACCATGCACATGGTACCTTTTCAGTAAATATTTACTGAATTGACAACTCTTAAATTCATATAGTATCAATGTCTTCTCTGTGGTATACGCTACAGTGCAGGAAGGGCAGGCATTAAACTGAGCCATATAAAACTGCTCAACTACTTTTCACCTACAAAAAGGGGCACTTTCAGATGGATCAACCTGTTTTTAAAAGAATGGTATAAAAAAAGTTAACAAATTTTGTGAAAGCTAAGATAGAAATGAAAAAACTTTTCCTCAGAAGAAAAAAATATATATGATATGAAATAACTTGCCAAAGACGTCCAGCCCTATATTGAGATTCAAGAATCACCAGTAGAAAAAAAAAAAAATCAACAGTAGCTCCCATATAAGTCAAAAACATCTAGGTTTTTCTGTCTTCTTGTGCTACTGGGAATTGAACACAGAGCCTCTGCATGGGACTACATCTCCAGCCCAAGTTGCTAAACTGCCCAAGCTGGGCTTCAACTTGTGATCCACCTACCTCAGCTTCCCAGAGTGCCAAAATTAAAGCATGCTCCACCACATCAATGAGGAATTTTTGAAGATCACTATGTATATATATTTTTTTGCTTTTTAAAATTATTTCCATTTTGGTGATTATTATAATATGCAGATGTGTAAATAAGCAAAATGTGTTTAGGACACACAGACTATCTTTCTCTTTATTAGCTAATTCTGATTTCATGCAAATGCTCAAACATCTAATTAGGTCAAATTCATTCTTTTTTTTGTTGTTTTTTTGAGACAGGGTCCTGCTATATTGTCCAGGGTAGCTTTGAACTCACTAGGCAGTCTAGGCTGGCCTTGAACCTGTGATCCTCCTGCCTGAGCTTCCTAAATGCTGAACCATAGGCATGTCACCATGCCCAGCTAATTAGCATGTCCAATTCTAACATGTTTGCCCAGCTAATTAGCATGTCCAATTCTAACATGTTTGCGGTTTGGTTGGTTTTTTTTCATTTCAGGTTACTGAACCCAGGGCCTTCAAACTGTGCTACATCCCCCATCTCTTTATTGTTTATTCTGAGACAAGGTCTTGCTAAGTCACTAAATTGCCCAGGCTAGACTCAAACTTGCAATCCTCAGTCTCTCAGAGTGCTAGGATTATAAACATCTGCTACCATGCCTGGCTCCAATTCTAATACTTGGGTAAAATAAGTTCTAGTTCTAGTTCTAGTTCTAGAGATCAGATTAAAAAGCTAACCTAGGCATATTATGTTTTTCAATACTCAAATATATTAGGCTAAAAAAGTAATTGATACATAACAACTCTACATATGTTTTCTTCATCACTAGAAACATATTAGCATGAATACATTTCTTCACATAGATTACTTCAAGAGGTATCTCACTGGGTATGGTAATGCACACCTGTAATTGCAGCACTCTGGGACACTGTGGCAGAAGGATCACAAGTTTAAGCCCAACCTGGGCAATTTAGTGACTAAGAGAAACTGTCTCAGAAATAAAAAGGGCTGGGATACAGCTCAGAGAAAAGGCCCTGTGTTCAATCCCTAGTTACTCCCCCACAAAAAAAAGATCTCTCAAACACATTTTTCTAAAACTGCAGACAACTGGATTTCTGAACAGTAATCAGAAAAACACATTTTAATCTCATGTTTTACCAATGGCCTTTCCTTCACATTTCCAAGAAAAGTCCAGACCCAAGTAGGTTTACTAATGTCCCTTAAAAGAGAGAAAAAAAGAAACACTGTGCTCAAGTAAACCTGCATTACATTTCTGGAAATCAAAGAATACCTACCTAAACATAACAGTTTCAAAATTTCAAATTTTTTAGTATACAATTTTGTCCACCCTGACTTTAAAATAACATAACATGCCAAAAATTAGAACTTTTAAAAATATATGAAACAAAGTATCTAGTTTATAAAAGATTTTAATATCAAATAAAATTTACATGATTAAAAAGCTTTGTCATATATTCTACTTATATTATATAATATATATAATGAAGAATAATTTCCACATTACATCAAGTGATTTTTATCTTCTCAATTCCAAATGAAATATTGGCCTAAAAATTAGCTATTTGGCCATGAATGATGATAAGTAAGGGTAACATGAATCACCAACAGGTTTCTTTCCAAGTTACCAACTGTCACAAGTTCATCATTTTCTTGTTTGTGTTCCCAAAGCTGGTAGCATTTTCATTTCATCCACTCTGTTCTTATGTATTTGAAAAGCTGGTGTTATCCATCTACCACAGGAACACTGTTCACCATACCAATTGAAGGAACCCAACTTGGCACTGCATTTTGGGCAAAGAAGCTGAAATAAAGCAAATGTGTTACTTCCTTCATTCACTTCAAAACAAATAACTATTTTTAACAATATGGGATATAAAAATAGTAAGACATGGGACATGGCTCATATTTTCAAGGAACTTATAATCTAATAAGTGATAAATGCATTGGAAATTTACTGTAATCAATGATGGACTACAATTATTGCATAACAGGCATTTTGTACTCAAGAGAAAAAGATGAATTCCAAGTTGAAGGGAGAAAAGCTGAAGCTTACAATTCAATTAAGGAAACTTCTATGAATGTGACATATGTACATGGCTTTTAATCAGGTTGTAATTTAAGATTTCAAATAACATCATGGCTAAAGGATAGAAAAGCATATTAAGATTTTCATGTGCTATTACTAACTGATATTGATAGCATACATGTGAGATTCCTGACTATTTAAAAACAAACTGATGTTCCAGTAAAATAGGTAAATCTAAAAATGCTTAACAAGTTCACTGTATTTTGCCTAATGTAGTTACAGCATTATTTCTTCTTTTTTTTTTTTTGGTACCAGGGATCGAACTCAGGACCTCACACTTCCCAGGGAGGCGCTGTGCCACTGAGCTACATCCCTGGCCTTCCAGCATTATTCTTTTAAAACTTTAATTTGTGTGTGGTACAAGATAGGGTTTTTTATTTTTAATCTTGAGCTACAAAAAATGTAGAGATAAAACTGAGAAAACATAAATGAAAAAACTAACAGATCTGATAATATAAATATCTTAAATTTTAGGTTGATAAAATATTCCACAAATTTGAGATAAGCAATAGACTGGAAAAACTATTTGTAATATATTAAATGAAACATCTAGAATATGTAAAAAGCTCCTACCAATCAATAAGAAGAAGACAAAAACCTACAGTAAAATGAGCCAAGAATATGAAATCAATTTACAGAAAACGGAAGTATACATGGCTAGTAAAGACACTGCTCCTCAGATGTATAATGGATGCTGGGAAATGGGAAGAAAGTGTTCAAATGGGGAGGGGAACAAGGGAGGAGGGAGGGAGAAAGGAAGGAAGGGACAAGAGAAAAAGTGAAAATAGAAGGAAAAAATGAAAACAAAGCTTTTGTACGTATGGAGGAGAGGGAACTTGGGAGGGGGGATAAAATTAAATTTTTTTTTAAAAACATACTGCTCCTCAGTAGTAATCATGAAAATACCAAGTATACATTTTAGGATTAACATTTTTCATCCTACAGACATCCTGAACTTTACCAGCTTTATAGTATCAATGGGTGCATGCATTCACTTAGTGGAAAGCAAGTTTACATGGGCATTTTGAATGTCAACTCGAAATATTACTAATATTCAAACCAGGAATTCTACTACTAAATATATACATTATACAGACTCTACAAAAAAATTCAACTATGTGTACAAAGAAGTATATACAAATATGATTTGGAATCTTTCACAAAAACATCTTTCCAGGGCCCAGGGATTTAGCTTAGTGGTTCTGCAACTTGCCTCACAAGCGCAAGGTCCTGAGTTCAATCCCTGGTACCTAAAAAAAAAAATCTTTCCTGTGTGTACATGTATTTTTCAGATTAAAAAGGCAGCATACCAGAAGCACAAAAGAGAAAAAGATAAACTGGATTTCATCAAAATTACAAACTCCAACTGCTTCAAATACTACCATCAAAGGAGGGGAAGCAGCCAGGCATGGGGACACATGCCTGTAATCCCAGCACTCTGGGAGGCTGAGGCAGGAGGACTGCAAATTCAAGTTCAGTCTGTGCAACTCAGTGAGACCTTGTCTCAAAATAAAAAACAAAAAAGGATGGGGATATAGCTCAGTTTGAAGGCCCTGGGTTTAATCTCTAATACCAGAAAAAATAAAAGGGGCATGACTGCTCCTGGGTTCATTATTTTGAGCATGATGAGAATGGTGATGGATGTACAACTCTGTAAATATACTGAAACCACTGAAGCATACACACCCAGTGGCTGAATTATATGGTATCTGCATTATACCTTGTTTTGTCACAACTTTATTTTGTTGTTTTGTTTTGTTTTGTTTTGCTGATATAGGGTCTCACTATGTGGTTCACACTGGCCTTGAACTCACTATGTTGCCCAGGCTGCCTCTGAACTCAACTCACAGCAATCTCCTGCCTCAGCCTCCCAAGTGCAGAGATTACAAGTGTGCACCACCACACCAGCTTTATACCTTGTTTTTCAAAAAGCAGCTTTATCTGAACATATGGGTTTGACTATAAGGTCACACTTTCCAGGCTAACTAATGTAAACTACATTTCCTCATGCATAAATTGCAAATATTTCTGGTCTCTACTTTATAAAGCTATTGTATTCTTTAAATGAAATAATATAGTGAAAGGGCTTCACAAAATTATCTATTGCACGAACTTTTATTCAAACCACATAGGAACCTTCAAATTCATTAAGATTATTATTCTATGATGTTAGAGGCCTTCCCTGGGTTCAACCTCCACAATAAAATCTGTATTTATATATGTATGGGATACCTTCAGATTATACCTAAAGGAGCTGCCACAAGATGTTTATCTTAGTTAACAAGAAATTAACAAGAAATGAAAAAGAATTTCATAGCAAACATACTAAACTGACAGATCAGGAAAAAGAGAGACACGAAGCCAACAGACAAATTTTAAACCTAATTTTAAAATTCTCGATTCTTTGATTTATCAACATATTCTAATCAATTTAAAATAAATAATGTTGGTCTTTTTTGTTTGTTTGTGGCACTTGGGATTGAACCCAGGACCTTTGCACTGAACTGTATCCCTGACCTCTTCTATTTTGAAATAGGGTCTGATTAAGTCACTAAGTTGCCCAGGCTGACCTCAAACTTGCAATCCTCCTGCCTTAGCCTCCCATAATGTAGTCATACATTGAAAAAATATAACAAAAGCATCAAAAGGAATGTGTTAATTTAGACCAGTGGTTCTTAACCAAATGTAGTTCATTATTTAGGGATCAGCTAATTCTTTTAAAAATATTTTATTTTCAGGTTAAAAGTATAGCTCAGTGGTAGAGTGTGTACTTCGCCCTGGATGTAATCCCCAGCACCAAAAAAAGAAAAACATCTTTATTTATTTATTAATTTTTTTTTTGGTACCGGGGATTGAACTCAGGTCTTTGCACTTGAGCAGCAGGCGACGAAACCACTGAGCTAAATCCCCGGCTCTAAAACATCTTTATTTTTGATAGCCTTACTTACACAAGCAAAGTATAATCTTCAGGAAGAAAGGACTTAAGATGGAGTAAAACACTGGTTAAAATGATTTAAAATAGGGCCAGGGATTTAGCTCAGTGGTGCTACTGCCTGCCTAGAAAGTGCAAGGTCCTGAGTTCGATCCCTGATACCAGAAAAAATAAGATTGAAAATGCAAAAATGAACAAAATATAGATGACACAATGAAACTATAGAAAATAAAATGTATTCTCACCTGTCCATCCATTACTCCCAGCAGCGTGGCTTCCATCCACTGCACAGGCTCAATGAAGTAGGAGGTGCACTGAGCCTGACTCCCCGGGCTAAGCATGAGAGATGGTGTCATTCTCTTGTGAGCAAAGGCTACAGACCCACTTCCTTCATGATGATCCAGTATGCTAGAACTTCGAAATAAGGATCGCCTGCAACTCCCAAACAAACAAAAACATTACTGACTTTCAAGAGGATGGAAAAAAATATATGGAATGTGCAATATTTCTTAGATGCCAGATAAGATAATGTTGATTATGCTACTTAAATTACCCTATCATTTTCTTTTTTCTTTTTGGCTTTACTAGAGATGAACCCAGGGCCTTTGCACTAAGCTACATGCCCGCCATTTATAAACTTTCAGGCAGACTCATTAAGTTGCTTAGTTAACCAGGCTGGGCTCAACCTTGGGATCCTCCTGCCGCAGACTTCCAGAGTGCTGGGATTACAGGTGTACACCCCACAGCCAGCTACCTTTACTTTTAAAATGTTATATTCTTCTTGAAAGCAGATTTGAATCAGAAATTTCTATATTATTCAATTAAATGATTTTCCCACAGAGATATAAGAAAATAGAACGTCAAGTATTTTTCAGTTACTGAAACAAGATAAAAATCTCCAGAAGATACAAAATATTTTACCTGCACTTTCTACACTTGTAGAGAACTTCATCTTTCATTCCTTGTGAAACGGTGGTTGGGTCAACAGCAAAGAGTTCTTGAGGTAAATTCTGCAATTCTATATGATATAATTAAAATGTAACTATTTTTCAAAATCACCTTTCTGCATTTTCAGACAAAATTCAAGTAATGTCAAATGGAAGAAATAAGTGCTAAACTCAGAAATTTAAAAAACAGAAAATAGAACTCCGTGATGAGAAATCAGGATGAGGTAGGAGAGCACAATGAGTAAGTCTTGGGTTCTGAGACAGACTGCCAAATTAAAGCCATTTATAAACCATGTGACCTTAAGTAAATTTTTGACTAAGCCACAGTTTCAAAAGGAAATCATATACATGGGAAGCTGAGGCACAAGAATCTTAAGTTCAAGGCCAGCCTGGACAACTTATGGAGACCCTGTCTCAAAATAAAGAAGGCTGTCGGTATAGCTCAATGGTAGAGCTGAGTTCAATCCATAGTGCCACAAAAAAAAAGAGAGAGAAGCCACTGTACTTGTGTGAGGCAGTTACAGGAAAAGTGACATAATGCATTTAGTGTAAGTGACATCTAGAAAAAGTCCAGTACATACTAACAATTATTATTCTTACCTGGATACTTCTCTGTAACCTTTTGTAAACGATACTGCTTATAAATTGCACTAGAGATATCCACTTCATATCCCATTGCCTGGTATAATTTCAGCTGCGACTCAAACCCCTCATTCATCCTGTAATGACAAAACATAAAGTTCAGTTTTCTTTAAATAAAAATCACATCACCCAAGCAGAATCATTACTGTAACAAAGAACTCACTTAGCCTCTGGCTTGAGAGTCTGTAGGATCTCATATGCATTTTCAAAAGTCAGTTGGTCAGTCTTCATCAAAAAAGCAGTCACTATAGCAACACTTCGACTGATTCCTGCGTGACTGAAAAAGAGACCTTCAAAATAAAACAGCAAATACCAACAATTAAATAAAACAAAACCCAGCCACCTATTAATGGTAAAGTTTAAGTCCAGTTCATCTCTACTTCTACTCAAATAACCCTATTGTGTCTGAAATATTACCAATGTACAAAAGAATTATTACTTTATTTCCTTTCTTTTGAATTCTGAACCATGAGTGGACTACCTACTCAAAAGTAATTACATGGGGCTGGCGATTTAGCTCAGTGGTTCTGCCACCTGCCTCACAAGCACAAGGACCGAGTTCAATCCCCGGTACCAAAAAAAAAAAAAAAAAGTAATTACACTAATTTTTAAAACTTTTCTAATGGCTCCAGAACAAATCCAAGCTCTTTTGCTCTTAGTATTGCTCTTAGTACCCCTTCTGGATCTAATACCACACTTCTTTTGACTTGATCGTTTTCTTCTCTACTTCATGTAAACATTTAGAACAAGTGTTGGTATACAATAAGTGCTTATAAATTTAAAATACTCGCTGGGCATGGTGCTACATGCCTATAATCTTCACTACTGAAGAGGCTGAGACAGGAGGATCAGAAGTTCTAGGCCAGTTTGGTCAACTTGGCAGGGCTCTGTGTCAGAATTAAGAAGGAGTGAGAGGGCTGAGGATTTAGCTCAGTGGTGCCGCTCCCAGCCTTGCCAGCACAGGTCCCGAGTTTGATCCCCGGTACCAAAAAAAAAAA